GGTACGAGTCATTTGAGCTCTTGTGTTTAGAGCTCTTTTGTTTTGAGCTCTTTTGCTAACATGTGACTGCATTGCCCCTTTAAAAGGGGCGGGTATACAGCGGCCGGCTTCCTGTATGCTTAATGTATCTATTTTCTGCGTGGGAGCGCTGTTCGACCGATCCTGCTGTCAGCGGATCGGCGGACTGGCAAAGTAAGTGTCCTGTTTCTTACAGCAGGGAATCTACAGGGTAGGCTTTTGGATTTAGCCTGGCATGCTACCCAAGCCCACAGAAAAAGGCTACATCGTCATTAATAGATACTATATGTCAGACTGGCATGTGCCATAGACTAAATATGCATTAATAACCTAACCGGCAGGAAAAGGATATCAAATATGTGATGTTCTTTGTAGTTTAAGTCCATTCCGAGGGTGGTGGGAGAATCCCCGCTGATGAGGGCGGAGTGTTCCTGGGTGAGCCTTTACATTTCCCGAGGTTGGTGGACTCTCTTCTCCTTTGCGGCAAGGCAGACCTGGGATGCATGCCCATTTCTCCATAACAGTCCATGATCTCCACTTCCTGAAGGCCCAGTGCCTGTGTGAAATTTGGGACGTCCTCCGCTGTGGTGATTGACTCCGTGGTGCCTCCATGGGTGGTGGTCAGAGCGAAGGGGAATCCCCAACGGTATTTTATCTGTCTGTCTCTGACCTGACTCGTACCATGAGTAAGTGCCCTGCGTCCCTGTATGGTGGTCCAGGACAGGTCCTGAAATAATTGGACCGGGTGATGCATAAATCGTATTGCTGCTGAGCCTCTGGCTTGTTTCAGGATAGCGTCCTGAAGGGCGAAGTCAGGTATGCAGCAAATAATATCCCTTGGGGCCACATCAGGTCAGCCTTTTGGCTTAAGAGCTCTATGTGCCCTATCCAGCTTAATGACTGTGTCCCTGGGACGTTCCAGGATGGTATTAAATAAGTGCCGTAAAATGGAGGGAATATCTTCAGGGGTTTGGTTGGCCTCAGGGACCCCCCTCACCCTGATAATAATCCTCCTTCCCCTATTGTCAAGGTCCTCCACATAGCGGTGTAGAAGGGAGATTTGTTGAGAGTTTTTACTCACTTGCGTCTGATAGCCTGGATTTATTCAGTTTTATTTGACTACACGGCCTTCTCCAGCTGCTGCACCTTGGCACCCAGAGAGTTTAATTCCGTGCCCAGTTCAGGGAGTTTCGCTTGCAGCGATTTGTCTAAGTTCCCAAGCATTTGAGCGCTGTCTTACTTGGATGGGAGTTTTTTGCAGCAATTCTCTAATTATTATTATTATTATTTATATAGCGCCATCAAATTCCGTAGTGCTGTACAATGGGTGGAGTAACATACATGTAATTGTAACCAGACAACTGGACGTACAGGAACAGAGGGTGGAGGTCCCTGCTCCATGAGCTTACATTCTAGAGGGAGTGGGGTATAGTGACATGTTGATATATATATGTTGATGATCAACAGTGTCAAAGGCAGCAGAAAGATCAAGGAAAATTAGGATAGAGTAATGGCCGCAAGATTTAGCAGCAATTAGATAGTTGGATACTTTGGTCACAGCGTTTCGACAGAATGACCAGCGCGGAATCCAGACTGAAGGGGGTCAAGCAGAGAGTTGGTTTTGAGAAAGTCAGTCAGTCTGGTGTACACAACTCGAGGATCTTGGAGGCAAATGGCAGTAGCAAGATAGGGCGAAGTTGGATTAGGAGTTGGGGTCAAGGCTGGGCTTTTTCAGAATTGGGGTTACAGTTGCATGTTTGAAGGGTGAGGGAAATGTGCCAGAGGAAATGGAGAAATTGAAAATTTTAGTGAGGGGAAGAGCAAGAGAGGGAGACATAGTGCGGATGAGATATGAAGGAATAGGATCGATGAAACAGGTGGTGGGGCGGGAGGACCGGAGCAGAGCAGAAACCTCTTCTGCTGTAGCAGGTGCGAATGAGTGTAGAATGGTGGAGGGAGTAGGGTTGGGTGATGTAATGGTAGCGGAAGGAGAGAAATTAGCAATCTCTTCTCTGATTGTAGTGATCTAATACCTGACTCATGCAGGAGTGGGGCCTCCGAGTCTGCTTGCCTGGGACACCAAAATTCAGGAAATTATGTACAACATATAAAGTGTAATTTCTGGTCACACTATTATTATTATTTTTAAAGCACCAACATATTCCACAGAGCTATACAATGTAGCAAACAAATAGTTGTAACAAGGTTGGACATACAGGTCCAGAAGATAGTGAGGGCCCAGCTCAAACAAGCTTATTTTCCGTATACTGTAACTTCTTGTAAATGTTGAACAAAAATGTTATTGACAGAGCAGGATATAATAAATTCTAAATTAAACAGATTTTGCAATACAAGAAGTGTAAACATTAGATTTCTCTTTACAGTAAGTGTTTAGGAAGGCTGTGCAAGTCACATGCAGGGAACTATAACTAGGGCTGTGTAACCCTAAATGGCAGATAATTGAGCAGTGAGACTGCAGTGGCATGATCTATACACCACAATGATTCATTACACTAAAGTTGTTTTGGTAACTATAGTGTCCCTTTAAATATGTGATTTTATTTTCACTTATAATATTTTGCTTTTTCATCATGTTAACTGGGGCCTTAGAGTCCTGTTTTTGTCTCATCGTGTAAGCTTTCAACACAATTTAAAAACCTTAACAAAACAAAAAATAATTTAAACAAGACAGAAGTGAACGTGTTTGTGAGAAGAGGGACAAATTTATAGTCCAAAAATACAATAGATTTTACTATGTAAAAAATTCTGTCTAAAATGAATATCGTATTACTATTTTAAAACTTGGCTTGATATTCTAGATCACAGTAATCACATGACATTAGAGAATGTTGTAGATTGAATGGAGACTGCTAACATTACATCAGTATGCATCTTAATACAGCTAGCAGCACAATATGACTTACTTGTGCATCAAACAGTTGTGAAAACAGCTTACTTATGCACCACAATTAATTGTGAAATATATGACGGACAACCAGAAGAGGTCAAATACAAACAGAATGAAAAACTCGTTTTCAGTTTTAAGTCATTGTATGGAAAAGCACCCCTTCAGCACCATAGGAGGGGGACCCTGAGGGTGGGGGCACCCTCAGGGCACTATAGTATCAGGAAAACTGCTTTGTTTTCCTGACACTATAGTGATCCTTTAAATGCATTTCATACTTGCGTTGTACAGTCTAGAAAACCAATGAATGTGAGAGTCATATGTGTGAGAATGATTAGAGGATAAGTTCAGGTCAAAAAGGAAGGGCAAGAATAGGTAATATTTCATTATTTGGAGATGAAAAATTGGATTGGCAGTGTTATGAAGCACTTTGTAAAAGTAACACTAGGATTTTAGATTAAAGATTTAAAGCTTTTAGGAAACCGGTGTAAAGATTGGCAGAAAGAGAAGGCACAGGAGGCTGGGAAGATGAGTCTGGCTGGTGCAAACATTGTGACTTGGAAGGGGTCAATCTAGGAATGAGTAAGACCAATAGATAGAGAGTTGCATCTGTCAAGGTGGAAGATAATTGTGCTACCTTGCTGCTTCTGCTGTCCCATAGGAGCAGATGTAAGCTATGCTTTTGAGATGGAAGCAGCAAGATTTGGTGATTGCCTGTATGTGAAAAGCAAAGGAGAAGTTTTTTTTATTTGTGCTATTCAAATTAATGCTAAATGTATACATATTAGACTTCACAAATGCATTTCAGCTGGTACGAACGAATAAAATTACCTTTAATCTGTGCTTTGAACAAATAAGTTTGTCTGGGATTTACCTGTGGAGTTCTGTTCAATAAAAAATTATCCACAGGTAAATAATATTAAATTAAAAATAAGTTAATTTGTTCATACAAGCTGAAACGTAGATGTGTACAAGTCTAATACATATAATTTCATTCTAAAATGATACCTATATTTTTCCCTACTTTTGGTATAGGGATGATATCTATAAACATGGCACCCACCACCTAATAATTAATTGTCTTTCCAAAATTAATAGTGTGCTATTCTACAATTTTGCCAGTACTATGTTTTGATGAAAGATTTATCTATATTTGCCTCAGTATTTCCATTTGAATTTATTTTGTGAAATTCTGGAGTTCCGTAAAGATTCCTGTATATGTCCTCTCTGTTCTCCAATGGTGCAAAGGGAAGAATACAGTATATATCAATCCTTAAATTCTATTTCTAATAGTCCTTAAACGGTTACTTCATGTACCATGATACTGCAGTGCTTTGAAGTGGGCATGGTGTTTGAAGTCTGCACATGCAGTGTTTCAGGAAGTAATGCTGCACATGCGGAGATAATAAACTTTGTCATTAGCAGCACTGTTGCCTGTTGTATTTCTTTTCAAGTGATGTAATCCATTTTCCCCATGATGCTGGGTAATCTCATCCTCATTGTATAGAAATTAATCATCTCATTCATAATTATTTGTTAAGTATTTATCAATCTCCTCTTTGTACAAAACTGCAGTTTCCACCCTCAATTTATTAAGTGGTATTTAAAACTGAAATAACTATGGTAAATTATCACTGCTCCTACAAAACAAAAGTAACACACGCTAGTTCCATCGGAACAATATTCATGATAACAAATGAATAGACAAGGAATACTAGCCATTGTCTGAAGCACAGCTTCCTTACTGTAATATTGGAAGTCAGAAAATGTTCACAAAAATGCTAGCAAACAGATAAATATCTGGCAAATTCATAGGATTAAGAGTAACTGTTACAAATTAAACTATTGCATTTGATTCCACAGGGCAGTGGTGGAAATAGCATACAAGTGAACGAGTGGATGTTTTCTCAAATATATCATAACACAACACTGTAATGCCCACTGCTCTGATACTCATTACGTTAACATTATATAATTAAAAATTTTTAGATAAGCACCTACGTATATCATTCACAAATCAACCAACTATCAAAGGATGAGTTTTACAAAACTAAACAATTTCTTAAATATTTTGCAGAGCAAGGGAGACCAAACAATTCCTTGGTGTAGTGGTGATGCTGCCAATAGTCTGTCCACCATTTTTTCTTCAAACCATTTTTCCTGGCATCCAAAGGCAACTCTCTCTCCAGTAATCAGGAACACCTCAGTCTGCAGCTCACACCCGACAGAGCTGCAGACAGGATGCTGTGTAGGCGCTCTCCTCCCAGGTAAGGACTGACTGGAGGGGCCTGGCATAATGGGCAAGCCATCAGGCCCCCTGTCATAGACTGAAGACCCGACATGTCAGTCTGCCCTAAGGCGACTTAGGCAGCCGCAAGGCCCCTGACAGCGCGAGGCCTTAGGCGGCTGCCTAAATCGCCTAATTAGAGAACCGCCTCACCAATAGAGATATTGTGAAAATATATGTTTTGCTTTATCAAGCAGGATGGAGGTGGGGTGAGCTATAGGTGCTGGAGAGAGCCCAAACTGTTATCATATAGCTCAAAAACATTTCAACAAAGAAACAAAAAAAAACACACTACACTTAGCTGCAGAAGTTGTGTTGCTTATAGTGTGAAATTTAGTGGGGGGGGTTTAATGTCGGAATAAAGCAACCATAAAGCAGCAACATTGAGAGTGCACGGAAGATAAAGATGGAGGTGCTTAAATGCCCACCTTATAAATAATCAGTATTTTACTCATAATTTATAAGTATATGAATAGTTATTAGTCATTAAAACATTATATAATTCAGTTTCAATAGTAAACAGGTGCCCTGCTATAGCAAGAGCTCTGGTCCCCAAATTCAACCTGCATTACAGCGTGTGAATAGTAATGTCTAAAGACAGCATAGCAGTGGAGTACATAAATCAGTAGTGCTATTGCATTGTCTTTTATTTAAATATACTTTTAATGTAGCGAATGCATTTTTTTGTGTTTCTCTCATATACAACGTGTAGGTACTAACTTTTTGTGAGATGGCATCATAATTCCTCATGTTGTGGTTCTGTAATGTCCAAAGTGGTCACCACTAATGGAAGATGCTGCGTGAAAATATATGCTGGGTTTCTCACTAAACTAGGAATTGTTAAATGTTAAAGAAGGAATTGCTAATTGCAAAATAGCTGAAATGGAAAAAATCTCCATCTTGCATAGTTATTTGTTAATTTTCTTTTTAAAATTCTCCACAGTTCTTGGTGAAAGTCAGTTACCGAGACTCAGCACTCCATGTAAAGTAGACCAGCTCTTTTGCGAGTCAAAAAAAAGTGTTAATCTCGATCATATTGATCTGATTCCTCTCTATATATTCTGAAAAATCTATAAACTGATTTTAAAACAAGAAGTGTTAAACAAATATGTTAATCTTTGGTGCTAATAGAGAATACAGCAATATCTGCTCTTGCGTTATTTTTCTACTAAGTACAGATTGTGAAACACACTGTTCCTTTAACATTAGTTGTAGAAGACAGGGCTGTCCTTGACGTTGCTGTTCCTACAGCTTCATACTATAGGCGGCCTCTTCAGTTATTTATGCAGTGTGTTTGGCCCTGAACCTTCTGTAATAAAACTTCTCAAAGAAAAAGGAAAAGTGGTACAAAGCAGTTAACCCTGACTGCATTAAAATGGACGCATGTCTATTTAAATTAACTTTTAAAGTGTGTGAGTTTTTAGTTCCTCGATATGTGGTTTCTGATTATTTTTCTTGATTTATTTTCTATTACTAAATTCACTCTGTTATAAAATAAAAAATACATGTATTTTCATGCCAACTACTGGCACCTTCTACCTTCCATAAATAAACCAGTAATGCTTATTCCACATAATAACGGAAAATGTAAGCATTACTGTTAGTATCAAAGGCCAAAGTGCCCACCCAACTACTGCCATTGATGGGTTCGTGGTTTCCAATTTTCTGGACATCATCTCTACTCCACCTCACTTTTAACCATTCCTGTTAACATTCCCTGCCCACCTTCTTGGACTGAGATGAACATGGAAGAGAGCATGTGTGCATGGGATGGGTCTGCTTATGAAAGGAGCAGGCCCACCTCTAAAGAGGATGCCTCCTCAAGCAACCAATCTGCTGCAGTGCTTTGTGCATTGTTCTAGCGTCCAGTTCACTCCTACATTTTGAAGTCTGACAGCAGATTTCAAAATCCTGTACAGATCTCTGGGACCTATATTTGCTGGGACAGTAATCTAAAATGTGGGCCTGTCCAGGCACCCATGTTTTATCTATCACAAAAAAATAATTTCTTACTTGAGCGGCTGTCATAGCATACTTACCTTTCCTCAATCAATAATTTTTTTCCCATCTCTCATTACAGTCTTTTCTTTTATTCTCCCTTAAATACATAAGGCAAAATAGAGGTTACATTGCTTTATGTGTTTTTCCTTCGATTGAAAAACTTGACAAAGGGTGGAGCTTAAAGGACAACTCTAGGCACCCAGACCACTTCAGCTTAATGAAGTGGTCTGGGTGCCAGGTCCAGCTAGGGTTAACCCATTTTTTAATAAACATAGCAGTTTCAGAGAAACTGCTATGTTTATTAATGGGTTAAGCCTTCCCCCTAATCCTCTAGTGGCTGTCTCATTGACAGCCGCTAGAGGCGCGTGCGTGATTCTCACTGTGATTTTCACAGTGAGAGCACGCCAGCGTCCATAGGAAAGCATTGTAAATGCTTTCCTTTGCGACCGGCTGAATGTGCGCGCAGCTCTTGCCGCGCGTGCACATTCAGCCGACGGGGCGGATCGGAGGAGGAGAGAAGGAGGAGAGCTCCCCGCCCAGCGCTGGAAAAAGGTAAGTTTAAACCCCTTTCCCCTTTCCAGAGCCGGGCGGGAGGGTATCCATGAGGGTGGGGGCACCCTCAGGGCACTATAGTGCCAGGAAAACGAGTATGTTTTCCTGGCACTATAGTGGTCCTTTAAATGGACACGCCAGGGCAGTCTTTAATGAAAGGTCAAACGGGGCAGCTGCCTGCAACAGTTTCTTTTAAGATTAATCTGCAGCAAAACTACCGAGGGTTCAGCCAGTGTGCTGCAGTTGGGCTCACACACTAGAGGGCCCATTGGGTGGCCAATGCATTTAGTGCCACCTAATGGGTATCGCTTAACAGGGGCTTTGTCGGGCACCACAGCCCTTTAAGAGCGCAGGAGAGTGGCTGCAAATATCAAAATTATGACATGTATGTATATGTGGATGTGCAAGCGTGTGTAGCTGTGTGTCAGTGTGTGTATCTGCATTTCAATGTGTGTGTATCCGAGTGTGTGTGTATCTAGGTGTGTATATGTGCCAGTGTGTATCTGTGTGTGTGTATTTGTGTCTCAAGCTGTGTGTATGTATCAAGTTATGTGTATGTGTCACTGTGTTTATATGCGTGTATCTGTGTGTTAATGTGTATGTTTATCTGCATCAGTGTATATATGCATACATCCAAGCAATCAAACACAACATGCAAACACACCCATGCAAACACAAACATTACATGCAAGTACATCCCTGAATTCAAACTTCAAAGTGATACAAACATTACATTTTTACTCAAACACCAATGCTACTACTCCAAACACCAATGCTACACTCAAATGTACATCCGCATTTAGAATATAACACTGCATCTAAACACACTCCTACATGCAAAGATTACATACAAACACACCCCTGTGTTAAAACACTAAAATTATATCCAAACAGCAACTCTCAAGGCTGGACTGGGGATACAAAGCAGCCCTGGAAAAAAAAATCTATGCCAGCCACATAAGTCATTGCGCCATATATTGTCGCATGTAATATGTAAGGCAATGTCTTGCCACCCCAGATGATTGAGTAATATATATATATATATATATATATATATATATATATATATATACAGAATGCTCCTGCACTCACGCTTAAATCTCCCTTGGTGCCCGGGTGCAAGCAAAAAATAGCTGTCTATCCATTCATCCAAGTAGGTAGCTGCACTCACGGATAATAAAAGTCCAAAGTTTATTGAAAAATGGTTAAAAAAACAGCGATCAACATTTCAGTCCTCTAAGGACTTTCATCAGGATCAAATAAAAACATTTAACAAACATGATGATGTTTAGAGGACTGAAACGTTGATCGCTGGTTTTTTAACCATTTTTCAATAAACTTTGGACTTTTATTATCCGTGAGTGCAGCTACCTACTTGGATGAATATATATATATATATATATATATATATATAATATATCTCAAATATATATTGCTTTTTCTTATATAAAATATCGGTCCTAGACATAGACAATCTCACTGACACAGACAAGCTCATTGATACACAGCCTCATAAACAAACAATCTCACTGATATACATAAGCTCACTCACAAGCAGGCACACACACACACACAAACTCACTCACTATCAGGCGCGCACACACACAGCTTAATGTAGTGGTTCTGGTGTCTATAGCCTGTCCCTGCAGGCTTTTCAATGTAAACACTGACTTTTCAGAGAAATGGCCGTGTTTACATTGCTTCCTAGTGACAGTCACTCAGACGGTCACTGGAGGTGCTTCCTGTGTCAGTGTTGCACAGTGTGCAGCACCTACGTTCAGGGCCACCACGCTCTGCAGGCGCTGAACGTCACCCATAGAGATACATTGATTCAACGCATCTCAACGCATCTCTGTGAGGAGATGCTGATTGGTGTAGCGTTTTGCAGCCAATCCCATGGCAGAGCATTGGATTGGCTGAGATCATCAAGCTTGATGATCTCAGCCATAGAGGCAGGGCCAGTCGAGGGGAGACCTGCACGGCGTGGAAAAAAACACACAGACACACACATAAACCATGACAGACACAGACACACACATCCACCATGACAGACACACAACCCCCATGACACACACACACCATGACACAGACAGACACACACACACACCTTGACAGGCACACACACCATGACACAGAAAGACCATGACACAGAAAGACCATGACACAGACATTCACACACCATGGCACAGACAGACACACCATGACACAGACAGACAATGAAACAGACATACAGACATACACACACCATGACACAGACACACACACCATGACAGACAGACACACACAATATACACTCACACTGACAGAATGACACATATTAACTGTGGGCGACCGGCAAGGGAGTTGTGCAGGGCAGAGAGCTGAGTGTGCTAAATCTGTTAAATTGTACACTCTAAGATTCTCAGTGAATAGTGTCTGGAAATGTAGTTTGGAATCTATGCACTAATGCAAAATTACTCCCAACACCCTTAAACGGTAAGGAATGTTCTATGGAACCCCTTTTATCTCACATTGACTATGTAAAAGACTTGTTAGATTATCAACAAAAATTCTAAAGTGGCTTTTAAAATTAGTTGTTGTTTTTTACTGTCTCTCTCAGAACACTTTTAACTGAATAAATGGTTAGCTGAATTACCTCTACATGTGTAGAGAGCAACCCTGTGGTGCCTATCCAGAAGCAGGGGAAGCTCTGATGGTGGCCGCTGGGGGAGCTGTGCTGTGTTTGCTCCCCTGCCCTCGCGCGCAGCTTAATGAGAGCGGGACCGGAATATGACGTCATGTTCCGGCCCGGTCTCATTAAGTAGTGCGCGAGGGCGGGGGAGCAAAGACAGCACAGCTTCCCCAGCGGCCACCATCAGAGCTCCCCCAGCGGCCGCCAGCACACCCAGGTGCCTGCCCGGCCCCATAGGTGCCGACGGCCCACCGGGAAATTTCCTGGTATCCTGGTGGGCCAGTCCGGCCCTGCCAACTCTACATACAAAAGCAGCCTGCATTTAAAAGCCAGTACTACAAAAGCCAGGGAGGGGGAAGGAGAGGGGGGGACAAGCAAATGCTTGCCCAGGATCCAATCAAAGAAAGCCCTGAGACACTCTGGAGCCCTAAAGCACTTTAATATGCTGAAAAGCTTATTTTTACTTTGCAAAAAGTGCAGATTTCAATTGAAATTGACTCTTTTAAAAACTGCTGGATATTTATGAATAGAAAAATGGGATACAGCTGTACAACCTAAAAAATAAAATAAAAAATACATAGTGTAATATAAGTATGTATGTCAAGTAGACACATAATCTATTCCACTCACAAGATGTAATCTGTAAGATCGCCTTAGAGGTGCCGCCCCCGATGGCAGTGGGGGGCTAAAAGCAGCCTTCAATCTTCCCGGTAGTGTACAATATCCAGGACCAGAAGGAACAGAAGCAGGAATCAAATAAAAGTACAAATTCTTTTATTGGCTATTATAATAAATAAAATAAAATAAAGTAATAGGCCCAGTCCTACGCGTCTCGTTCTAAAAGAACTTCCTCAAGGACCTCTGGATTGTAAAACAAACAAATAGTATGCAGTTAAAATGCCGCCTGATTCCTACCCTCCAAAAGTTCCCTATTTATAAGGACCTGTAGTCCTGGTGATTAGTCGATCATTTTGTTGGTGCTTCTCCGGGATCCGAAACAGCTGTTTTCAATTTGATCGTGCGGCGTCTCTGTGCCACTTGCGTTCCATTTGTTACTTACGTGCGTTCCAATGACGTAATTTCCTCTTCAGATTCCATATACTGCCGCACATGCGCTTTGTTGATAATGTCCATAGACCCCATATCGGATCTTGGAAAAGTTCCCCGTAAGAAAACGACCTTACGTTTTTAAAAAAAGAACACTATAACGAAAATTAGAAACACAATTTTCTACAGATTGAAGTATATGATCAACATTATTCTAAATTAGAAAATATGTATATATATGTATATCATTAACACTTAAAAAAAATAGGAAATGCAATATAATAAATATAACACTATAAATTGCAAATTAATAAAGTGCAGTTATATTATTCAGAATGTATCTGCCCAACATTAAAGCCATTATAATTAAAGAATATTCCATATATCTTATTCATCATCAAAAATTCTTTCAATTAGTTAAAAGAAAAGGGAAAAACTTGAAAAATCTTGTAAAATACATACCAAGTCAATCTCCACATTTAACCCCCTAGGTTCCAGTATTTGTAATTTATATATACAGTATGTTTCCCGCTGTGATTCTTTAATTCTATCTCTTCCCTCGAGTTTGGGAGAACCTGTTCGATACCAAAACATCTGAATTGTTTAAAATTAAACGCTGGGCATAGTTACATAGTTACATAGCTGAAAAGAGACTTGCGTCCATCAAGTTCAGCCTTCCTCACATATGTTTTTGCTGTTGATCCAAAATGAAGGCAAAAAACCTAGTCTGAAGCGCTTCCAATTTTGCAACAAACTAGGAAAAAATTCAATCTTGACCCCAAAATAGCAGGTAGATGTCTCCTTGGATCAAGCAGCTATTACCCCACTAATTAGAAATGATATCCCTGTATGTTATGTTTTTGCAAGTATTTATCCAATTGCAGTTTAAACATCTGTATGGACTCTGACAAAACCACCTCTTCAGGCAGAGAATTCCATATCCTTATTGCTCTTACTGTAAAAAAAGTTTATTTTCCTTAGATGAAATCTCCTTTATTCCAGCCTAAATGTGTGACCTCGTGTCCAATGTATAGCCCTGTTTATGAATAGATTTCCAGATAAAGGTTTGTACTGGCCCCGAATATATTTGTATAATGTTATCATATCCCCTCTCAGGCGCCGTTTTTCCAAACTAAACAGATTTAATTTTTTAACCTTTCTTCGTAACTAAAATGCTCCACTCCTTTTATCAATTTTGTAACTCGTCTCTACACTTTTTCTAGTGCCATGATATCTTTGTTTAGAACAGGTGCACAAAATTGCACAGCATATTCAAGGTGTGGTCTTACCAGCGATTTATAAAGAGGCAAAATTATATTTTCATCCCGAGAATTTATGCCCCTATGATGATTCACAATGCACTGGAACTGAATGGGTTGTAAGTCCTTTTTTAATATTGTTGATATGCTCCATAATTCTAATTTTTAAAGGACTTTTTGTATGACCTATATACTGCTTACTGCACAGACACTGAAGTAGATAAGCCACAGAGTCCGTGCGGCAACCAATCCTGGTGTGAATGGAGAACTCCTCTCCCGTAGTAGGTAGAAGCACCCCTCATGTATGTAGTTAAACACACCTTACAACTTCGACATCCTTCAAATCCCTTCTGTGTTATAGTCATTTGATCTGATTTTTTTGCTCTAATATAGCTGGGTGCTTACATAGTTTTAAAATTCTGATTTTTTTTCTATGTCATAAGTGGTTGTCGAGGTAACATATTCCCCAATATAGGGTCATTCAAAAGTATAGACCAATATTTTCCTATGGTTCTTTTAATTTCCCTATGGTGAGTGAGTGTTATACTTGGTATTAAAGGCACATTTAAAAGGTTTGCCCTCTTTTTTTCCGATTAGTATTAATAAGAAGTTGGCCTCTATCTGTGTTAGACATGACTCTAATTTCTTTTTCTATACTGTTTTTCTTATATCCACGTTGTATCAGTTTCTGTTTGATAAGATTTGCCTTATTTTTAAAATCTTCCGTTTTGGAACAATTGCGTCTAACTCTAGTTAGTTGGCTTTTTGCTATGCCCCTCAACCATGGTTGGTGATGGCAGCTGGTTCTATGGATATAGCTATTACCTTCTGTGGGTTTAAAATAACATTTTGTTTTTATGTCATATCCTTCATAAAAAAGGGTAATATATAGAAAATTAATATACTCTTTATTCCACATTGGGGTAAATTTCGGTTAAAATGATTCATATTTAGATATTGCACAAATTCTCCAAAGGATGATTCGTTCCCCTTCCAAATAATGAAAACATCATCTATATATCGCCACCAGAGCACCAGTGAGGCCCTCCAGTCATGACCATTTGCTTGCCCAGGGTCCAATCAAAGAAAGCCCTGAGACACTCTAGAGCCCTAAAACACTTTAGTTTGCTGAAATGCTATTTTTTACTTTGCAAAAAGTGCAGATTTCAAATTTGAAATTGACACTTTTAGAAATTAACCTGGTTACACCCCTTGGCTTTCAAGCAGACAACAGGTTATGTTAAACAAACAAAATTACAAAGGCAGGCACACTATACAAGTTAAACCACAAAATATATTTGAAAAAACAAGTCATGTATCCCCATTGGACCATTAAAAATTGTGCATTCAATTCAGAATGGGGAGTACAACTAGTAAAAATAAATCAACTTTATTATATTGTGGCGGACCTGGCATCAGTCCCTGGGGTTGGCCGAACCCATATTGAGTTCTTGCAAACAGATCAGTTCGCAAGAACCTGTGTGGCGGACCTGGCATCAGTCCCTGGGATTGCCCGAACCCATATTGAGTTCCTGCAAACAGATCTGTGACACCTGTTTGGGAACTGAACAGAACTTGTGTGGTCCCCCCCATTTATTGACTAAGAACACCGACCACCCCTGGCTGTTAACCGCAGTTAAGGAGTAACTTAAGTGCTTTCCCTGGGTGGCCACCGTTCGTATACCCGAACGCACTTGTTTCAGGGCACAGAGGCCATTTTGTTTCCCGAACACAGGCAGCGCTACTTGGTCGTCTAGTGCGTGGAACTAATTTTTGTGAACCCCAGTCAAGACGGTACTGCTGCCTGTATACTTTCCCGACCAACTACATGAACCACATTCAGGATCTACCGACTGGAGGGAGCATTTGCTACCTAAGAGCCAGGGGGAGTGTTCATCAGTGTTTTTACAGGAACTACCGAACAAAGACTGGATTCTCTGGAACTCTTTTGGGGCATCACCTCTTGGCCGGCCGGTGAAATCTTCTCCCGAATAGCGATCCCGTTCCATCAAACCAATCTGAGTGCTTTTTGGATATGTTGCGTGCTCAGATTTAGGCTGTTCGGAGATATAAGAATTGTGGGTTTCCTGTAATGTTTTACTATGTTTTTGGAATGTTTTATAATATTTTATGTATTTCATGTAACTGAGAGATAATTGAGTTATCTAAATTCCCAGCTCACTTATCTCTCAGGCCCAGAGCCTCTTGGGAAAATTCCTTGTAAACGTGCTCTGGAGACTCCATGCTATGGAGTGCATAAAAAGCTGTGTGTGGGCTAATAAAAATCAGTTCACTTCCAGAACTGTGTGTCGTCCAGTTACTGGGGGAATGGGCTATATTCAGTGACCAGCCCTTCCCTTCTAGCTCCAAAGGATTACAGCAGAGATATTCATTCTCAGCATTGCATATCAGCTACATATATAAACCAAAATTACATGGTAGTGGTACCCGTAAACAACATCATAAACAAAAATGACAATTTAGTGTTATCTGTACATCACAGAAAGAACATGTACATAAATAAAATATATCAGTAGAAGGATTACAAAGTAAAACAAAAAAAATACGATATAACAAATGGGAAACTACAAAATATATACCATGAATAAACAGAAAACCAAAAGAGTTGTGAGAAAAGGTTAATATCCAAGGAAATAACCCCAATGTTTCAGCGGAACCACTTTGTGGTTTGGTTAACTCAGTTGAGCTAAACTCAAGTGGCAGCAATTGACCAGAGCACCTGCTTTGCAAACAGTTCTAATTGAGCTGCCTTGGAAACTGTGTGATTGGACAGTCACAGAAAGTATGGGTGGGTGTGACGGACCGCCTGGCACCCCAACCGCGTACCTCCGTCAATTGCTGCTTACTAGTAATCCTTGAGTACCATAAGCACCACACCTGACACCATAACCACCATAGACCCCACAAACCGCCGCAGTTTGGTTGGGGTCTCACTGTCCTCCACCCACCGAGGGCCCAAGACCAGGATCAGGAATTTCCTGGAAGTCTGATTTTTGACCGACCGTGCACATGGTCCTATGCCCAAACCAGGGAATCAGGGCTAATGGTCGGTCTCTCTGCCTGGAGTACAAAAGTTCATACAGAGCGTGAACAAAGCTTTTTCAAGTGCATTGGGCAAGGTATATTGCAGGGCCCATAGTCCTGAGGCAAGAGGCTGGCTAGTAGGCCCCTCCAAGAACCCATGACGAGGTTTCAGTTCGTCACAACGGGGTTAGAAGTGGAAGACTTGTAATAGTTGCAGACATGAGATCTGCATATTTTACAAGCGGTATATAGATATAACCAATATGGAAAATGCATAATTAAATGCATGCACGCATGGCCGTCTATAATATGAATAGGACCCTGAGCAAAGCATTTTCTTGGGCCCCCTGGGCTCTGCCCCTCCCCCCCAATTACTACCAACCCCCAATCACACTCTTCACTCCAATGCCGTGGGGGAACTAAAGTTGAGAGATTCAAAACATATTTACACAGCCATATACACTGACAAATATATACTGGCAGTCAAATTGACACACATTCAGATATACTGACACACATACACACGCACACACACACAGACATACTGACACACACAGACACATACACTGACAGATATACTGACACACACACATACATATACTAACAGAAATACTGAAACACACACGGACACATACACTGACAGACGTATTGACACACACACTGACACACACACACAGACATGCTGACAGACACACTGACACACACACAGACTGACATACTGACACACACACAGGCATACTAGCATACACAGATACACTGACACACACACACACACAGGCATACTGACATACACAGACACACATAGGCATACTGACACACACAGACATACTGACACATACACACAGACATACTGACATACACAGACACACTGACACACACACACAGGCATATTGACATACACAAACACACACAGACATACTGACACACACACTACATTTAGCCACTCTCCAGGTTCTTACCTTTTCTGGAGGGTGGTTTCCCTGGGGTCCAGTGGCAGGCTGTGGCAGTTGGGAGTTATCTTCTAGAACTCCCCTCCTCCCTGCCTTCCTCCTACCACGTGGCTCTGATCTCTGGTGGGAGGAAGTGACATGCGGCACTCACTTCCTCCCAGCCGGCTGCCGAACAGGGGTCCGATCGCGCTGTTTAAGCGTCACAGCGCCCGACCGAGCACCTGCTGACACATGCTCAAGGGGCCTCCTTTGTGTGCGGGCCGGTGGGCTCTGTGCAGCTGCACCTCTGGGTCCATGGGGGCTGCGCAAATCGCGGGGCCCGTGGGGCAGCTGCTTTGGGGCCCCCCAGGAGCAACTGCCCCGTATTAAAGACAGCCCTGCATGCACATTTTCATTTGGGGTATATCTACTAAAAAAGGTGATTTTTATTTATTTTGTATTTGGCAAGTGGAGTGTTCCTTTTAGGCAAGCTCTACTGCAGTTACTGGGCATGCATGAGATCCAATTCGCATAGGGGATTATAAGTAAGGGCAGAAGAAGGCAGTGATCAAACGTCAGGCAGTGAATATAGAATGCAGTGATCAAACGACTGATAGGTTACTGAAGATGGCACAGCAAAACCATAGATAAAGAGCTTTAACAAGGTAACATGGGGGATCAGTGACTAAAAATTGTGGGGACAATGAGTAGAAAGAGTCAATGGTGGACAATAAAATGTTTTTTAAAAAATAAGAAAAACCCACACATGCCCATAACAGAGGTGCTTTAGTACCAGCAGTGTTGTCGAACATAAAAAGTGTAATACTCATCTTCTTTCCTTGATGATTGCCTCCTAAAATTATTGTTGCGATTACAATCATTTGTGAGGGTTGTGACAGCAGTAACAGATGCACTGTGCCGATCATTGCAGTCCAAATATGGATACAATTTATATTTAAAGACTAATGATTGAATAAAAAAAATATTTTAGGGTATGAAACCTGCGTGGTTGAAAGAAAAAACTGCAAATGCTTGTTTTGAATATAGTCTGTCTATGAATATAGATTTTTTTTGTTACACTGTCTGTATTACTGATGGTTTAATATTGTTTCCCCAATAATCTGCAATTTGAAAACGTACTCACCCTGCAGAAGTATTTCTGTAATTGTAACTAACACACATTTTTTTTAACTGTAGCATTCTTTAACTATTTACCTCCCTTGACCGCACTGGTCCATTTAATTGCTTCTAACTTGTTTTTTCTTTTGCAGACACACCAAAACAATCATTGGACTGCTGCGTATGTTTGCAGAGGGTTAATGCACACGGAATTATTTAATTAACCCTTGATGACTAATGACTTGCCAGAACTGTCATTATACAAATAGATTTGCCTAACGCTTTGTCACAAAGGAATTCTTTCTTAAACGCCCTAATAAATTCTCATTGTCAACTCTACTGTTGTCTGTTGAGTGACTTTTCCAAATTGATTCAAAGATATATATTCCAACTGTGATTGAATTTATCCCTATCTAAATATTAAAAAAAAATATCTAGGATGTATTCAGAAACACTGCAATTATAGTATCAATCTTTGTGCAGCATTAAAATAGATTCCTGTATCTTGACTTTTTTTTCCATTGCGATAATGCTATTTGTATATGTTCCCAAGCGGATTAGAATGCTACTGTTGAAAGAGCATGCTAAGTATTTATGAGGACTTTGGTGCACAGGAATTGTATTGGGTAGTTTATTTTTGCTCATGTAACCAGACAGTTAGTGTATGTTATACTTTGTGTTCTGTCTGCATTTATGAGCAATAACAGAAGCATCCATTGTTACATATAAATCACTGTGCTCAAAACAGCATCCTTTGCATTTCTTTATTATAAATGTGACATGCATTTGCATATTGGAGTTAGATCATGTGTATTCATATAGTGAGAGATATCATCTTCACATTTTCCATCAGTTGCAGTCATACATGTGTATTATATGGTAGAAAACAGGCTATTGTCTTTCATAATTGCAAAATCAGGTATGGCAACCTGTGGAGTGTTGTACATAGGAGGACTTCTGGTAGCACCCCACCAGTTTGTATATGGGGGTTAAAATGTTTGCGAGAGTTTAGAAACACCGAGGGTAGTAAGCCCAAAAAAAAAAAAAAGGGAAATAAAATGATTATCTCTTTAATTCTGTAATAGGTTTCAGTCGTGCAGGGATTTTATTCAAAGGAACTCCAATGTTATTTTAGATTTTTAACAATTTTTGTAGATATGTAACCCAAAGAATACATGCATGGTTATTTTTCTTCAGTGTTTTCTTTGATGGTACATAAGATAACAGCTTGCAAAAGCTGCAGACCTGCTGTCTGTATTCTTCACAATCACAAGACCCCCTCTCTTTCTTTAATATAGACATTCAGTCTGTGCCTGGGAATATTTAAATCAGAGGCTTCTTACTGAAGTACAGCTCATTGAGAAGCACAGCACATTGAGAAGGTGAGTGACAGCATAATTTCTGCTTCTGCTAGTTCTGTGAACCTAACAGAAGAAAACTTCCCTGGCTATCAGATCAAGAATCAGGTATGTGTTTCTGCCCCCTATTCTAAAAGTGCAGATTTATATTGAAATAGTTTCTTTAGTTTTCTTACCAACTGTCATGAAAATAACAGACTCCAGACACATAAAGAGCTTCAGCAAGCTTACATGCTTTGTGTGTGTGTGTGGAGTTTCCTTAACAGGGATATTATTTGACTTAAAGGAGCACTAAAGGGTCAGGAACACAAACATGTATTCCTGACTCTATAGGGTTAAAACCACCATCTAGCCCCCCTGGTCCCCTCCCTAAAAATAGCAAAATCTTACTTGTATTCAAGTCTGGAGCTGCTAGCTCTGGCTTTGTTTCCTTTAGACCTGCCCACTGCCTGCGGATATCAGCACAAGTGGTAGCCTGACCCAATCACAATGCTTCCCCATAGGATTGGCTGAGACTGACAAAGAGGCAGATCAGGGCAAAGCCAGCATGATTCAAACATAGCCCTGGCCAATCAGCATCTCCTCATAGAGATTAATTGAATCAATGAATCTCTGAGGAAAGTTCAATGTCTGCATGCAGAGGGAGGAGACACTGAATGTTTGGATGCATTTTAAGCAGCCATGACCCAGGAAGGGTCTCTAAAAGCCATCCGACGAGTGGTCAGTGAAGTTATCACTAGGCTGTAATATAAACACTGCATTTTCTCTGAAAAGACAGTGTTTACAGCAAAAAGCCTGAAGGTAATGATTCTACTCACCAGCACAAATTCAATAAGCTGTTATTGTTCTGGTGACTATAGTGTACCTTTAAACAATAGAACTACCTGTAATATGAAATGAAACCTTTCTGCCATGTGGTCTAGTGGAGGTGGATTCTTTAACTAAAAATCACCAGCCAATATAGGGCAAACAGTGTCAGAAAGGCTCATTTGGGTTTCTGTCAACGCCATTAGTTATTTCCATCGATAGATACTAACTATCTGCAGATAGGGTGGGCATTCCCATGGCGCAGTAAAATAAGGAGACGTGTCAGGGTACGTCAATACGTATTCTTGAGTTCCTAGAGTGAGAAAGGGGTTATGGAAGATATCTTCAGCTGTTATAAGAATAAAGTGTGCAAAGAGAGATGATAAGAATTTAGCACAATCAGTAAGATGTATGTTAAGAGCTGTTGGAGAATGGAGAGAAGAAAGAAAAAAATATATTGTGCCATGGGATATTTGTAATCTGCAAAGTATATCTGGCTGTCTATGGCAGCCTTCTGTGTCAACCTGATTCAGACATATATGTTGAGAGCTGATGGAGAATGGAAAGAAGGAAGAAAAATAATGAGGCAGAATATATTCTTCCATCTGTTCTTTATGATATAGTTAAAGAGGTATCAAAAGAAAGAATAAGATATTAATAATGAGAATCATGTGTTCACCTTCTCTGCTTCTTACAAATTCTTGGAGGTACAATGAAAATAATTTTGTCTGAATTTGTCTCAGACAAGACAGATTACCATTCTTGCGCATCTAGTCCATCTAATAAATTTATTCCTCCATTCTGAAGTTGCTTTAACCTATCTGACAATGCATGGGCCTTTGGAGTGCCAGTGAATTTGACTATATTAATTAGAGCTTGATAAGCACTGTGCTATTTAACAAGCACACTGATATTGTTCTTATACTACGTAACACATTTCAGCATTATAACTAACCTTATCTTCAGATTGTAATCCCCTTGTTTTGGGTGACGGTTGCCATTTTACGCAAACTGCTTTGTGTTTTTTTCATTATCAATATTATTATTTTGTAATACAGAATTTGCATTGTAACATCAAAATAAAGAGCATTCACTAGGCTAGGAACAAATTGGAGCTAAGCATCATGGACCAGTCAAATAGGTATCTCTCATAGTTTAATAAGATGCATGTTAAAGAAACTTGCCCTATATGGGGTAAATGTAAAATTAAAACATTCAGCACTCATTATCTAAAGAGGAGGGCAAAGCAAGACATTGTTGTAAGAAATAAGGAGGAAAGGAGCAATGAGAGAGATGATGAACAATAGAAATTGGGGAGAAGGGTGTAAAATTACAAGGCTAACTTGACACTGCCTTCCAACTATACAACCGCCCTCTCTAGAGCATGTATTGAACTGGTATGGTCATGGACAGGAAATGTAGAGAATCAGTAACAAAACTCATAGGATTATGAGCAGGTATGGTTGCTAATCTCATTGTAAATAGGAACCTTTTTTTCTCATAGATATATGGGATAGTGGGAGCTGTATATTTTCAGTGCTTTGCAATTTCCATGTGTATGACATCATATATAGACTTCAATTACCTTATGATGATTCACATATTTAAATAACTGTATCAAATATATAAGATAAGGAGTGAGTAGGAACAAATTTTTATTGTAAAAATCACAAATAATTATGGAAAACCTGTTTTAAACACCTTTTATTTAGTACTGTGGAATCATTATGTACTCCCCCATCCTTGTGAGAACATGCGTCTCCAATAAATCCTTGGAAGATGTCCATGTAAACGTTGCTATCCTGTAACCTTTATCTAACATGAGATAGATTACATCCCAGCTGAAAACAAATTTGGAGACTAAAGCTTATAAGTATGAAGTGAGTTGAGAGAAAATGAATGGAAAATATTTTGAAAGGAAAAAAAATTATAGCTTACCTAAAGTGTAATTATTTTAACAACCAAAGGCAGCATCCATTAACAGTATCCAGATCATGCCAAGCAAGTCTCAATTGAAAGCTGTAACTAAAATTATAGATGATAGCATATCAGTAGCTGTAGCGAAGCGTTTGACATTCTTTCAACCATATTAAGGCTGATTTGTGAGCTACATATGCATGGTCTAAAAGTAAATGTAATTGAGTCAAGGAGATGTCAATAACATGTTTTCTAAATCAAAGTATAGAGATTTATACTTTTGATGTTACTACAAGAATTTAAATCAAAGTTTGCTTACTATTTTGATGTATTACAGAATGGAATAGTATTAAAAACAGACCATCAAAATGGTTGACCCATTTTTCAGAACTGTCAATTGACAAATAGTTTTCTCCTCACACTTGCCTACTAAGAATTTTTGTTTTCATCCTATCAATATGTGATCCTTAAGCTGCGACGTGTCATACATTGAAATATGGAGCCTATCTACACCAACCTCATTTTCTGTTTTTCTAACTAAAAATCATTATCTCTTGAAGATGGACTTTCTTCACACAGTTACTAATAAGGAGATGATGGTAAGTCAAATGACAAAAAAAATAGAGTACTGACTGTAGAATCTAATGAATTAGAGGTAAAAACATATATAAATTTGCTGCACCTTGGGCAATTTGTGCTGAAAGGCAGCCACATGAAGGGAATCATGAGATTTTTGGAATTCCCACTTTATCAGTGGTTGTCCAAAACAGTCTTACAGTCTGAAGCCAATTCAAATGATAAAATAATTTTATTAAATAACAACCAATAGCTTTTTTTTCTGGTAATTATAATTTTGCAGTCTTGAAACCAAAGCAACCTTTACATAGTTACATGGCTTTAAAAATACATGTGTCTCACGCCCTGGAATACGAAAGGCAGCTAGGACCCCACTAACTAGCTATGAGAAACTGTGTATCACCGAATCAACCCATAAGGGCCTGATCACCACATTATATGCACAACTTAGCGCCCCGGGGAGAGACGCAGCACCCCTTAATTATGTCACCCAATGGGAACAGGATCTCCATCAGACACTGGAAGGGGAGGACTGGAGGGACATATGGGAAGCAGCAGCGAAGGTGTCCGTGTGTGTAACACTTCAGGAACGGGCATACAAAACCCTCCTGAGATGGTACACCACCCCAGCTAAATTATTTAAAATGGGGAAAACCACAACGGACACATGCTGGAGGGGCTGAGGAGAGCGGGGATCATACGTCCACATGT